GATCCTCCAGCCTTGGCCTCCCAAAGTGCTGAGATTATAGGTGTGCTCAGCCAAATTTACTTTCTTTTCATCTCCTTTGGGCTGCCTTCCCCAACCTATAGATGCCATCTGAAGATAATATTTATAATAATAAAGCTGTTTAATATAAAAGTCATTTTCTAAATTATGAACGGGCCAAGACAAAACATGTTCTTAAGCCCCCTAAAATGTCCTTTGCCTTACTGAAAGCTAAAATGTGTAAGGGGTACTTACAGGCCATTTGTGGGCTCCAGGATAGTACACCAGGTCCACATGCTATTTGTAGAATCTGTGTTTGACCTATGCGCCATCAGCCACTTAGGGGCCTGGTGACCTGATAGTTGAGGATGATGATGTGCAGGCATTGTGGTGATTTTAGCCTTTCTGAGCTGTGAAAAGCCTATGCTGGCAGCCAAGGACTGAGTGGAAGGCTAAGAAGGAATCAAAAGAGCCCGCATGTAGAAACTTTCACAGAAATTAACAAGCTGTCTACAGCTTCAAGTAGGAGTGAGTGATAGCCAAGGGCTGTGTTGTGCTCTGTCTGGCTTCTGTAATTCACCTCTGGATGTTTCCTACTTTTGATTTGGCCTAAGCTCATCTTGAACAGGTCATCCAGGCACAAAAATGCCATGAATTCCACCTGGTAACAAGAACCCTCTGCCTACCGGACACTTAGTAAGCGTGTAAAAATGCAGTACTCAGACCCCATTGCAAGCTCCCAAATATAAAGAATACCTACATTCTACAGATGAGCGAGAGAATTAACAAGATCAAGCAGATGGTTGCCATAAGCACAAAGAGAAACCATTTTGTCAAGGGCTTCTGTTCATCATTTCCTGGTGGAAAACAAAAAAGAAAGAAAGAAAACAAAGTCCAAGTTAGAAGCAGTAGCAGGTAAAAGAAATGATGAGGCTTGGGGCATCAGACAGCTTGAGTTTTAGTTGCCCGTGCTGGGTGGTGCTGGGCAGGGAGCTTAACTTCCCTGAGCCTAAGATTTCTTATCTGTAAAAGACAGGTAATAACAACCTCACAAAGCTGATATAGGATGAAATGAAATGATGGCAGTGAGACCAGTTTTATTGTGAGACCAGTTTTATTCTTAAAAAATGATTTATTCAGTCTCTCAGCAAATATTTATGGAGTTCATTCCATGTACTGTGCCACTTGGATCCTGGAGCGTATCTGTTTTTGGTACGTAGTAAGGTTTTTAGATGGAATATCCACAAAACATAAGCTTACTGAGTAACCCAACTGAATCACAATCAAAATATTTTACAAAGTTGGAAATTAAACTTTTGGAGGAAGTATGCGATAATACTTGTAGTGAACAATAAAGGCATCAGACTCTAAGTGCTTTTCAATCTTAAGTATCTTTAAAGTACCTCTTACCATTGTTCCCATTTCACAGATAGGAAAGAGGAAAACTGCCATTAAGTCAGTGCAGAAAGTCAATATTTTGCATGCCAATTATTCTGTTTAAATTTGCTTTGAATCTACATTCAAGAGACAAATTCTTTTAGGAACTTCTATGATAGCTTTGGGGTATGTAATTTTTTTTTTTAAGTACAAGAAATGCATCCAAGACAAACTCCAACTAGGTACAGTGGCTCATGTCTGTAAATCTCAGCACTTTGGGAGGCCACGGGGAGTGGATCATTTGAGGCCAGGAGTTCGAGACCAGGCTGGCCAACATGGTGAAACACAGTCTCTACTAAAAATACAAAAATTAGCCAATTGTGGGGGCAGACAGCTGTAATCCCAGCTAAGTGGGAGGCTGAGGCAAAAAATTGCTTGAACCCTGGTAGCGGAGGTTGCAGTGAGCCAAGATTGTAACACTGTACTCCAGTCTGAGGACAGAACAAGACTCTGTCCCCTGCCCCTCACCAAAAAAAGAAAAACTCAAGGCCATTTACCAAATAGTGTTTAGAGAGGTTATGCACTTGCTAACCTGCTTGACTGAATAATGTAAATCCTGCATGATCTCCCTGAATACGAGTTTCCTTTCTGTGGGAGAGACTGCTTATTCATTGATTCCTTTATTCTTCCATTTAACAGATATTCATTGGGCACCCATTATATTTTGGCACTGTACAAATTACTGGGATTCAGTTGTCAAAAGATCATACACGGGTGCTCCTGTCATGGAGTCCATTAGAAAGAATCACACTCGGCAAATAGCAACACTAACAGTGATTTAATGACCAGTGTGCTAAGTACTGTGGTGAGGTTTCAACCACACCGCACCAGGAGAAAAGATTACCATCCCCAGTTTACTATGAGTTGCTTCCTCTAGAAAATGAGAAATACATAAGTGGAATTTTCAAGTCCTTGTTAATAGGCTAAGACTTCAAAAATCTTTAAAATGCTTAAAACCCAAATCATTCAAGTAACAAGAGGGAGAGATGCCTTGGGATATAATGCTAGTGATTCCAGCCTTGCCTTGTTCTCTTGCTTTTTTGGCTTTTGAGGACCCCTACCCAAGCTTTATCTTCTACCTCCTGAAAGTTTTAATCTCCTTCTTCACCTCCCCCGTTTTGCTTTCAAATTGTCATAGAATCTTTCATCTTGAATAAGCCATGACCCTGCTCTGCTATCTCTCTCCACTGTCATTACATACCTTCTTACTTTATTTCCCAGTCTAAATTCTTGAATAAGGGCTGGGTGTGGTGGCTCACGCCTGTAATCCCAGCACTTTGGGAGGTTGAGACAGGTGGATCACCTGAGGTTGGAAGTTCAAGACCATCCTGGCCCACATGGCAAAATCCTCTCTCTACTAAAAATACAAAAATTAGCCTGGCGTGCTGGCTCATGCTTGTAGTCCCAGCTATCTGGGAGGCTGAGGCAGGAGAATTGCTTGAACCTGGGAGAGAGAGGTTGCAATGAGCCTAGATCTTGCCACTGCACTCCAGCCTGGGCAACAAGAGTGAGACTCTGTCTCAAAATTTAAAAAATTCTTTAAGGGATTCAGATGCTTCATTTCCCATCTCTAACACTGCTTTTTTAATCATGGTGACTTCCTCCTCGTCAAATTCAAAATATTCTGGGTTTCTTTTTCCAGCTTTATTTTTACTGACCTCCTTCCTGAATTTCAGACTGTGGATAGTTGAGCCGACCCTGAAATTGAGTCCTCAGCTTTATTGCCCAAATCTTCCTCTTCTTCAGTGGCACTTCTCCCCTTTTTCATTTCTATTGGCCCTCTCCACTCATCCTTTGACCCTTTGGTATTTTCCACTGTGGTCTGTTCTTTGAACTTTGAAAAGTTTGTTTATACAGCCTTATCTTTTAATTTCATGAAATTTTCTCCCAGGTTTTTATCCCTGGTCCTGCCTGACACTCAGCTCCAGGCCTATGTCTTAAACTGTCCACAGGTGAAACCGGAAACCTGCTCGGATGTTTCTCAAGGCTGACAACATTCAAAACCAAACAAATGCATGGTCTTCTTCATATCAAAACTCCTTCTCTCACTCACTGCCCCATTTCAGTTTCCATTCTTCTGAGCCCCCAAACCTGAAGCCTTGAAGTCACTTTGACTCTTTCCATCCTTTACAGCCCTCATCCCTTCTCCTCATTCCCTCAGTTCACATTGTTACTGCATACCCAGTGGTTAGTACTGGACAGGCATGCTTTGCCCAGTGCTTTCATCCCTGCCTAGTCGGGAAACCTAGGTGCTAGTCTCAGCTTGCTGTGAAGGTGGTCATTCTGGGCCTTGGTTTCCTCATCTAAAAACAAGGCGGTTGAAATATATAATCCTTCAGATCCTTCCCCAGCTGGTACCTTTTCTAGCACCACTCACTCAGTCCAGGGTAAGGTCACTTCATGTACACCTATCTTTAACAAAACTGGTTTTAGAAAAGTGGTACCTTTGTGGGTGGGGTGTGGTGGCTCATGCCTGTAATCCCAGCACTTTGAGAGGCCAATGGGCAGATTACTTGAGGTCAGGAGTTTGAGACCATCCTGGCCAACATGGTGAAAGCCTGTCTTTACTGAAAATATAAAAATTAGCCAGGGGCGGTGGCACACACCTGTAATCCCAGCTACTAGGGAGGTTGAGGCAGAAGAATCACTTGAACCTGGGAGCCAGAGGCTGCAGTGAGCCAAGATTGTGCCACTGCACCCCAGCCTGGGCGACAGAGCGAGACTCCATCTCAAAAAAAGAAAAGAAGTACCTGTTTTGCTGCAGGAAGTTTAAAATTTGTAATAAAGTATAAAAAAGAAAAAAGAAAAATCAGGAGTCATTGGAAGTAAGTAGGAGCTTATTTTCTATACATATTTTTCACTTTTTCTGGGTGCTTCTAGGTGCCCAGATACTATGTAAAGTGCTTCACGTATATTCTCAATTTAATTCTCACAATGATGCTTTGAGATAAACACTATTATTCTTACTGTACAGATGGAGGAACTGAAAAAGGACACTATTATTCTTACTGTACAGAAAAGGACAGAATAAGTCAGCCCAGGCCACAAAGCTGGGAAGTGAGGGAGCCCAACCTGTCCTTGCTCTTAACCTTGGTGTAGGAATCCCATTCCTCTCCCTCCCTCTGCAAAACTGAGGGCACACTGAATACACAGGAGCTTCCCTTCACTTATTCTAAGCTTTGCTTTGTCATTGAGAACTCTCCTGAGCATCATCTTCATAGCTCTCTGTGCATCATTCTGGGAAGCCCTGTTCTATTGTTTGTATCCCTGCTGTCTGATAAGACTAAGCATGCAGGCTGCGTCTCTAATTAAAGGTGGCTACTTCGCAAAACTAATGTTCCTCCTGACATTCCCCAAACTCTAGGTGGGACTGAAGCACTTTGTTAAAAACCTATGACTATACTATTTATTTATATGAGATAGGGTCTTGCTCTGCCACCCAGACTGGAGTGCAGTGGTATGATCATAGCTCCCTGCAGATTCTAACTCCTGGGTTCAAGCAATCCTCTCATCTCAGCCACCCAAGTAGCTGGGACCACAGGCATGCATTACCATGCTTGGCTAGTTTTTTTGATCTTTCATAGAGACAGGGCCTCAGTATGTTGCCCATGCTGGCCTCAAACTCCTAGACTCAGGCAATCCTCCCACTTGGGCTTCCCAAAGTGCTGGGATTACAAGCGTGACCAATTGCGCCCAGCCCTGTGGCTATAGTATTTTTTTTCAAGTTTTATTTTGAAATATACTTATGTCTATTGTTTTACAAAAAGGCATTAACCACATTTTGTTAAATGATGGAAAACAGAACCTCAAAGTGGCAAAACTTTTATTTTCCTAAATCCTACAGATATTCGGTGGTCCTATGATTAATATTCAGTCCTCTGGATTGGAACTGAATGCCCTGTTAGACTTTGTTTTTTTACTGTATTCTCTCTTAGGTAATATAAAGAGTAGCTGGGACAAACTAATACCAGCAAATCAAATACTGTCTTACTTTATTTCCCAGTCTGATTTCCTGAATAAGGAATTTAGCCTGCTTCATCATCCCGTCTCTGAAACTATTCCATGCTCTTAAACATTATGTAAATATTCCTATAACCACATTCAGAAACTGTGGGTTCATATACACAGGACACAAATTCAGCAAGTGGTACATCAGCAGGAAAAATTTATCCTGCTTACAACTAGTTAAACCAACAGAAAAAGTACAGGTTCGGGAAAAAAAAGGAGCAGTGTTGTAAATAATTATCAGGGTCACACTCTCAGTCACATTTGTGTCTCAAATTGTGCAATACCCCCAGCCTGATGTGGTAAGTCCTGATAAAAGTACCGTTTTCTTCTGACCATGATTACAAAAATCTTTTCAGTTAAACCACTGTCGAGTTATTCACTACAGACCTCACTTTGACAAGCGAAGATCCTCACTGAATTAGCAAAAGTGTAGAGGCAACAGATTTTATTTCATTAAATGAAAAATAGTTATTGATGCACACAAGGTACTATATGAGAAGTAAAGTCATGGTCACTGCTGGGAGGGTGTTGGCACATTAGTCATCTCTCCTGGCCCGGCTTCTCCAGTTGCCCCAAATGCATTAGGACTACTCCCCTATAGGCAGTTGAAAACCCCTGAGAACCCAACAAGGTCAGCTTTTCCTTGAAGAAAACACAAATTGGCAGGGAAATTTTGCACAAGAAAAGCTTTTTACATACTCATTGCTAAGTGGAAATTACTTGTGGATTATCTACTGTTCTGCTATTTATTTATGCAAAAACTGTCAGCAAATTAGTGAATTAAAATAAGCATCTACTCTGGTTTTGCTCAGAGTAGAACAAGTAGGGCGAATCCTCCTGAAAGTATACATTCTTTGGGTCAAAATGATTAAGAATTTCGATACTATAGAAGTTGGGAGATCCCACAATATAGCCTTAATTTGAATTCTGGGATCTCCAACCTTGGAGATTAAAAAAAAAGTATTTCCAGGTAATTTGAATCTTTTCTGTGACTCAAGGAGAATACTTTTCTTGCCATTTAAAAGGAAGTCACAGATGTTTCTTTTCAAGAAATCAATGAGCACTGCCATTTGGTTATGCAAAGATGAGTTTCAGAAAGAAGTCACACAGCCTGTCCTGGTAAGGAGGAGAAGCCCTCCAAACCCCCTATTTGATTTCTGGGTGATTTTTAGGCATTGTCAACTTACAGCATTTGGGAAATTCAGTTGTCTGGATTCTGCGGACTTCAGTTTCCATCATTTTTGACATCTCAACCATTTGACCTTGCATATAAGCCAATAGTCTGCTATTCTTCTATGACCCTAGAATGTATATTGAATGGAACATGGGGTGCAGCTGGGCTGGGACAGTGGCTACACAGAGGGCAGAAGGACTACAGGTATTGGACCCAAACTAGTCCCAGCTCTGCCTCTGGGAGCTTTGTCAAGCCACTTCCCCTTCAGAACTGCAGCCCCTCTTGCTCTAGAAGTCTATATCTATGAGGTTTAGACTATTAGCTCTTAGGAGGTAAATTTGATTTGGAAGCCTGTACCACCTTAAATTGTCCATGTAACTATGAACTTTGAATGCTTACATATTGATTTTGAATCTGATTTCAGACTCAACAATAGGTTTCCCGGGAAAAGAGCTAATTAGTAAATTGATGGGATGCTTCCAATAGAGCAGGCCTGCTGTGTTTTTAGAACCGGCAGGTGCTGGGAGAAGTTCAAATGGCACCAACAGGGTTGGATAATTGAGAGGATGTCAATATGGTAGTCTATGATACAGGGTTTAACTAGCTTCCTGTGACTTGCCTGAGGTTGGAGGGGAGACCGTGGCATCATTTATGAATGAGCACCCAAACCAGATCACAGGCTCCCTGTGCAAGCAAGTCAGGAGCAAAGCTTTTAAGTGAATGAGCTTTCGAGACAGCTGTCAAATGGACTGTGAGCAGTACCTGGTTTAGAGAAATAAAAAGAGATCAGCAAAATGCAGCCTCAGTGAACAAAATATAGAGTAGTGAAGGACCCAGAGCAAAAACACACATGACTTGCACTATGTTCATCTGGTGGAACTGGGCTTGAAGCAACCCAATAGAGAGAGGAAATGGAGACTGTGTATTTTTGTGCATGTGTGTATTTTGTGTGCATGTGTGTGCATTCAGGATTAACTGGATGGCTCACTGCAATACTGCTTGTCTACATGATCCCCCAGTAGGACTAGACTTGATGAAGTTGAGTGGGGAATTCCTTATAGCACCTTTCTTCTCTGCAGGCTTTCCCACAAAGCACCAAGGGCTATGTACCTTCTGGGGCCCCTAAGCAACCCAGAACTTTCTTCCCTGTAAGGGGATGCTGGGCCTGTCTTATCAGCCTGCTGAAGCAGATGAAAGCTGGCTGCAGAGGATGTAGTCATCACACAGAAGTAAGCAACAAGGGATAAAGAGGTTTAGTCCTAGGCCCAGTGCGGTGGCTCAGACTGTAATCCCAGCACTTTGGCAGCCCAAGGTGGGCGGATCACTTGAGGTCAGGAGTTCAAGATCAGCCTGGCCAACATGATTAAATCCTGCCTCTTCTAAAGATACAGAATTAGCCAGGCATGGTGGCATGTCTCCGGCTCCAGCTACTCTGATGGCTGAGGCAGGAGAATCTCTTGAACCCCCATGGGAGGTGGTGGTTAAAGTGAGCCGAGATCATTGTGTCACTGGCTCCAGCCTGGGCAACAGAGCAAGACTCCGTCTCAAAAAAAAAAAAAAAAAAAAAAAAAGGTTTAGCTCTGGTTCTGTCACTTGCTACCAAGATGACTTTGAGCAGGGTAGCCTCTCCAGTGCCTATGTCCTGCATTATAAAACAAGGATAAGAATTTAATGGATTAATACATGTGAAGTGCTTAGCACAGTATGGATACATATTAATATTAATAAATATCAATAAATATTACTTATTGTAACTATGATTAGGATGAGATGCATTGTGTCAACAAATTCATCAAGATAATTTCCCTTTCATCAAAGCAAGGCCAAAATTGAAGTGCTATCAGAATTCTCAAAATGCAGAGTGATAAACTCAGGTCAGGAGAAATAAACACACACCAAATATTTCAGACACTGAGGAAGAGAAAAGGGTATGGGTGTTCCTATCCTTCAAGGACTTAGGCTTCATAATGTTCATTAAGATGAACACTATGAAGATCTTGGACAGGAACATTTAGACAAGAACAGCCTGAAGATGTTAACTTCATTCCCAATAACTTGTCCAGATAGAGGTTGATGGGGTCAAGAGCTGGCAGAGCTTCCTGCTTTCACAGCCTCCAGTCCCTCTGCCTGAGTGTAGCCCATTCTCCTACCTCAGATTCCCTGGCTGGAGTAATAACCCCTGGGGCAATGGAGCATCTCAAAAAGAACTCAGATGTGGAGCCAATCCTCTGGCTGGGTTTCAGACCCAGGAGTCACACCTTCTATCTATGTGGCTTCCGGCAGTTCCTTTCCTATTTTCTCACCTGTGTGATTAGGAAATCATGTGTGTCAGGATACACAAGATAATGTTGGTGAATGTGTCCTGCACAGGAACTGGCCCTCTGACAGAGTCCCTCCCTCCCCCAAGCTGCCATCCTGCCACAAGGCAGAATTTATGCCTAGAAGGGCAGTGTAGGCACCAATAGAGGTGGCCGTGCCTGAAAGTGCTGTGGGAACTCCTTGCTTCTGGAGTTTGGAGATGAACACTGAAAGCTCTCTGTTAGTCCTCCTTCAGGCCAATGGGATGACCACTGGGGTGAGGCAGTCCCGCCCCTCTCCTGGGAGCAAATTGTGGGGCTGCCACATGGGGTCTGACCAGCCTGGACCAAAGGAAGCAGTGTGACCATGCCATCCGTCTACACAGGAAAACCAGAACCACAATAAGCAGTGTTAGTCTTAGGTTAGCCTAAGTGAGTCTTTCATGTTGTTAGTGGGTCAGCTCTTGTTATTTTTAAGCAATTTTTGCTACTGTGTAGACCCAGAGGCTCCCATCTCTAACCTCGCAAGAGTTTTGCAAGACTATTTTGGAAGGCCTAGGGAAAGCTCAGGTGGACCTTTACACAACACTTCCCTGTCATCTTTCTCCTTGTTTCACCACAGTGTGAGAATTTAAAAAGAAAGAGCTGCTGGGGGAGAGGGTAGGGATCAGGGGCGACAAAGAGAAGAGAACAGAACTCCGAGTGGGAGTCAGAGTCCAAAGAATCAGGTTGGAGCTGTGGGACGTTGGCACAATGCAGGCAAACTGGAAAATGAAGATGCATTTGATGGTCCCAAAGGTGACTCTAGGTGCACGACAAAGTTACCAGGTCACCACCCACATCAGCCCTTGAATGTCAAGTCAAAGGAAGAAGTCACAGGAGTTTCCCTGGAGTGGCCTTGCTTCCAGCCCATATTACCACAGGCCACCTTGATCCCCTGCCTCAACCCATTTTCATTAAGTCCTAAGAGATTCTAGGGTGTGTCACATGACTCTGAGACACGCCTCCCCCCCACCCCACCCCTCACCCCCACCGCCTGCCCGCCAGCTCAAACTCTGACCGGATTTGAGCTACTGGGGGTGGGGTGCAGCGGGGGCAGGATTTCCTACGAACAATACATCTCCATGTTTAAGGAGCTGCTGGGGGCAGCAGACAGGTCACCCTTGTCTGCTGTGACCTCATGACTGAGCAATCTGAAAACTGCACTGAGTCTTGTTTGCTCCTCTGGGTATAGGTACGATACGTCTCAAGACTAAAGAAAGCTTTTTAAAAAGTACATTTTTAATGGTACTCTGTAGCATTATTGCATAGAACCTGGCCATCAAATTTTACCTTCAGTGAAGTCAAAGCAAAACCCATCATTTCTTTGAAGGGCAATTGCAGTGACTGTGGTCTGTCACAGAAGAAGCAGGTCTCAGAACCACTGATCCTGACCAAAGGCACAGTCGGAAATAAGCGCAGGGTAGACCCACATAATACTCTCTTCTACGGGCAAGGACATGACCGTGGGAAATTTTATTTTCATCATTCCTTGTTTCACGCTTGGCATTTGAACTTCATGGATGGAGGGAAGACGAGATGATGATGTACTGCAGAAAACGCACAGCTTCATGAAGAGCAGTCAGGAAGCAAAAGGTTTCGGTAAACAGGAGACAGCAAAGATAACACAGGAACAGAAGATTCCGGAAGTTAAGAAAGTTTAAAAAGGAGAAAAACATGTGAAAATTGGGAAGTTAGCTCTTAAGATAAGACACAGAAGCCAGCTGATCTAGGGTAGTTGATAACGAGTACTGATAAAATGAAACTGCTACTTCCATTACAAAAAATTCCAGCCCAGCTCAGTGGCATGTGCCTATAGTCCCAGCTACCCGGGAAGCTAAGACAGGAGGATCGCTTCAGCCCAGGAGTTCGAGACCTGACAGGGCAACATAGTGAGACCGCCTCATCTCTTAAAAAAATTCTGAATCAAATTGTAGAATGCATTTAGTTATTTGAGAAATCTTCCAAAGGAGAAGTCACTATATCAAAAAGACACCTAATATGCATGTTTATTACAGCACAATTCACAATTGTAAAGATACAGAATCAACCTAAGTACACACCAACCAATGAATGGATAAAGAAAATGCAGTAAATATACACCATGAAATACTACTCAGCTGTACAAAAAGAATGCAATAATGTCTTTTGCAGCAACTTGGATGGAATTGGAAGCCATTATCCTAAGGAAAATAACTCAGGAACCAAAAACCAAATATCACATATTCTCACTTACAAATGGGAGCTAAGCTATGGGTACACAAAGGCATACAGAGTGGTGTAATGAACACTGGAAACTCAGAAGGAGAGAGGGTAGGAGGAGCATGAGGGATGAAAAATTACCTACTGAGTATGATGTAAACTATTCAGCTGATGGGTACCATAAAAGCCCAGACTTAACCACTATACAATTCATCCATGTAACCAAAAACCAACTGTTGAAATAAAACAATTGTTTTTAATTTTAAAGATTCAATACTCTGGAAATTCTAGGACAGGAGAGCCAATCAGGCACCGTTCAGAGCAAGCAAAGAGCACTCACTTGCTTACTATGCCCCCTACCTACTGTCCCCTGTGCCCCTTGGAAGGCCAGGGACATTACCAACAGAGCCGGACAGCACCCCCTGCCTCTCCCAGCTCCCCTTATCTCATCAATCAAAACTTACCCTGTGTCTCATTTTTGTAATGAAAGAACCTTGGGCTATAGTGGGTTAATTAGTGAACAAAATCTATTCTAATTCACTAATTGGTTCATATATCACCTATTTGAGAAAATTATATGTTAATAGTCATTTCTTGGCTGTTTGACAACTGCTGAGCCATTTAGTATCTCAGGACCTCCATTTTCTTAAGTTAAAATAATGGTGGGGGGGATTAATATCTAAGAAAGGGGTGATATTTGAGTTGAACATTGGAGTAAAATGAAGTGGGAGGGCTGCAGCCTGTCATTTTTAAGATAAGGTAAAAGACGAGAAAGCGTGTTTAAAGGAAATGAATGTAGCAGCAAAATCACCTGATAAACTCCTAGCTGAACGTAATTATTGCTCCATCCTCAAGGGATAAAAAAGAGCCACGCAAAATGTCCCAGAGGGGCTTGAACTTCCTATTATGTTTATTAATCATCTTGATGAAAATGGAAAGTCTACCTTGATTAAATTCACTAATGATCCTAAACTGAGCAGGGGAGTAAATTCCAGAAAGGATGAATTTATAAGGTGAGTAGTAATATTAATCAGCTCATCTTCATGAAAAGGGTGGCAGTAAATGAAATGGTATTTGATATAGATAATGGCAACGAAGTACACCTAGGGGGGAAATTATAATGAGCCCATATTCAAACTAGGAAGGTGTTATTTAGGAAATAATAATGGTAAGAGAGCTCTAAAGTGGAGAGTGAATAATAAACTAAAAACAAGCTTAAAATAAGCACTCGTTATGGATCACAATTTCACTCTCAGCACTTTTGCAGTGTGGTGGTGCAGAGGAGGTAAATGTGAATGGCAGAATTGGAAGCAGGTTTGTGGTGCAGTGCTTATATTTTACAGGTGAGGGCGCTGAGGCCCATATGGGCTAGGTGTCGACTGACTAGGACAGGGTGGCAAAACCCTGGCACACTGGTCACCACCCTGTCTCCTGCAGTGGTGGCAGGAGATCATGATTCCTTCTGATAGTCTAAATTTAGCCTCAGAATTCTTCTCAACACTGCACTCTAAGCTGTCTCTGATTACTTTGCTCACAAAATGTTATCTTTTGCCATTTCTAGCTTACATCATAGAGCTAGACATTGGCAGAGCCATGGCTAAAACCCAGATGTCCTGAATATCTAGTGCTTCTTTTTCACCCTATACATTCTAAATTATCTACAGTCAACATTGACTATAACTTCAAAAGTCAAAGGCTCAGAAAGCATAACTGGCTTCCTATCCAGGATTCTGACCTTGGTGTCCATCATCTTAGTTTAGGGTTCCTTAGACAGCATTTAAAAATCTCCGGAATTGTATATATGGAAGTGTTGGAAAGACAGAAATAGCAGTAGTTTTGAGCCAGTGAGTTTTGTGCCTGTGGGGAGTAACATAAAGCGTGTTTAAAAAGAAGTCTATTAAAGTCAAGTAACAAAAATTAAACTTCCACCTTAGGCACTTGACAAAATTAATGACCTTGTTAAAAATTTCCTGAGACTGATTAATGTTTCTCATATTTGTTTCCTTCTTGGGGAACAGAGTGAATTTTCTCTGTGCAAATGGAGCTATGTTGAGGGAAATTCTGTGTGTGCTGGGTCAATTTAGTTAGGTGGGGGCAGGAGGAAGGGAGGATAGAATTATGAAGCAGGTGAATTTGGCCTATTCTCAGTTCCTTTTAGTGTCCTTTCAGTTCTCTCTTCCCAGGAAGGCTCATGCTGCTCCTGTAAGTCTCTCTTGAGTGATGTGAGGGCTACCCCTCTAAGGCTGCGCTGGTAACAGCGTGACCAGCCACATGGCAGACTCAGAACAGTTCTCCATTTATCAGGACTTTTCTCATCTTTCCCAGTCTTCCATGGAAATCCACCTGCTCTGTGTCAGATCTGAGTCATTTCCACATGGGCTAGTGGGTCACTGCCCAAGACTTTCCTGAAAACACACCCCCTAGCTTAAGTGAATTAACTAAATAATAGAAGATTTTAGCATGTGCCTGAAATAAATCTCTCCTATGTATACTCTTCCAGTGGTTATTGAATACCCCATAGGATTTGTGAGAGATGACATCCACATGTTTGACCAGCCATAATCACAAAGATTGGCTACTAAGATCTCGTAAATAAGACTTTAATCTACCCAGCACTTTGAAGCTTGCAGAATCCTGTCACACCATCCCAGAGTGCCCAGAGATCTAGTGCTAGAGCCAGTTAATCTGGGGTTAGAGCCCCATCTCTGCCACTTGTTGTTGGCCACACACAGTTAAGCCAGTCACCTAACCTTTCCAAACCTATTTCCTCCTCTGCAAAGTAAGTTTGTTGATAGGACTAAGAAAATGTATTTAGCATAGTGCTTGGCGAAAACAACGAAAACCCAATACATGTAATCTGCTATCCCTGCTCTTGTTTTTGTTTCAGATACCCTGTGGAGCAGGGAAGGTGGGTGTTATCTCCTTTATCTTGAAAACCCAAGCAAACAGAGAGAAATGATTTGTCTGGGGCTACACAGTCAATCCTTGTCAAGGCTGAATGTTAAACCTGGGCTTTCTATGTAAGGCTCCAGTCTTCTGCCCATCATCCCCTGCTCTTGTAGACCTAGTGGAACAGTTTATGGCATGTGTCTGCCTCCCCAGGCTGCGTGGTTTGACATACGCCTGGGACACACTAGCTGCTTTTTTAACTATTTCCTTCTCTCGGACAATGCCTATGTTGACTTGCTTGTAACAGCCAGGTAATAGCAAACACAGGGTATGAATTTTCTGTCTTCAAGGTGCAAGTCCACATGTCCTGGGTATGGAATTGACATCTGTGACAGGGTGAGACTGGAAATGTGTCCCTTCATCCATAGCTGCCATTGGCTATATTATTACCCTGCATGGAGCTCACTGACAGAGAAGATGCCCATCTTAACTTGCCAAGAAAACTAGTCCATTTGATCCTAACATAAACAGTTGCAGAGCAAACACACTAGCCTGGGTGATGCCTGAACACTTTGATCCTCTATGTCTGGTAGGCTGAAAGCTCAGGGACAGATCCAGATTTCGTGGGCTCCTATAGATTATTCAATTTTGGAAACTTCTTTTAAATAAATAAAAGTATAAAGTCAAATTTAGGTATGAGAAAATTACAGAGATTGAGAACAGACTAGTAGTTACCAGGGTTCAGGGACAGAAGATGGGAGAGAGTGATAGTTATATTTATAAAAGGGTAACAGGTGATGATGAAACTGCTCTGTATCTTGACTGTGATGATGAGTACATGAACTTAAACATGTGCTAAGATTTCATAGAACCACCAAAACACATATACAAATGAGGATATATGGCTGGGCACACTGGCTCATGCCTGTAATCCCAGCACTTTGGGAAGCCGAGGCCTGTGGAACAGCTGAGGTCAGGAGTTCAAGACCAGCCTGACCAACATGGTGAAACCCTTTCTCTATTAAAAATACAAAAATTAGCCAGGCTTGGTCGCATGTGCCTGTAGTCCCAGCTACTTGGGAGGCTGAGACAGGAGAATCACTTGAACCCGGGAGGTGGAGGTTGCAGTGAGCCAAGATAGTTCCACTGCACTCCAGCCTGGGCGACAGAGTGAAAGTCTGTCTCAAAAAATAAACAAATGAGGATATATAAAATTGAGGAAATCTCAGTAAGATCTGGATTGTCAACACCAATATTATAGTTACACTACTGTATTATAGTTTTGCAAGATGTTATTACCCTTAGGGAAAGTTGGATGAGAGAGGCACATGATCTCTATTATTTCTTCCCATAGCCTGTGAGTCTAATAATTATTTCAAAATAAAAAGTTGAATTTTAAAAATGGATAGAACTAGAAATAAAATTTGGGGGAACAAATAGGTACCAGGTCTAGGAGGGTTGGTGCTAATGAGAAGCTTGGACACTTAAACTTTATTGGCTTCATGGCAGATCTGTCCCTGGATGAAAAGGCAGTAGACCAATAGAAAATGAGCCACAATAGAGATATGAACCATTTTAAGACCCACAAATGAAAGTATACATTTCTGAGATTACCATCTTTGATCACACGGAAGGCTGCCAATGCAAAACAAACATAAGCTACTTACCCACATAAATAGGTTGGCTCCACTCACTCCAGAGCCCTGCCTCTCTGCACATGGAGCTCACTGCTGCTCTCACTTGAATATCGTACTTAGAAAAATCATCAATTATTGAGATGAATGCATTGGTCATCATTTTTTCTATCTAAGTGGGGAAAAATAGCATTATAAGAATCTCCAGACACCTAATTTAGTTCTGCCAATTGTCAAAACAGGAGGTACTATATGGGTCATGTGACTCACTGATCAGCAAGCAATTTAAAATCAACAGGACACAATTAGTTTATGCTAGATGCTTCAGTGTGGATGTGTTGGCAATCGCCCTTCAGGGGAACGCTGTCTTGTAACCAAAATATATGAAATGGTCAATGGTCAAGATCCAGGTGATCCTCTCCAGGCCCAGCTGATGTTTCCAGACTGAAAGACTGGAGTGGCCTAGGCCAGAATGCTTTATTCCTTCACCTTGTCCCTCCATAATCTGTGGTCACATTACTAAATAATATCACACGAACACTAGATTGTCTAGTGTCGAAATGAAGGTATTTTCTCATGAATGAGGCTTTCACATTTTTCTTTTTACTGATCATTGCCACCACCATCCAACTAGTCCCCTGTGCCAGAGATGTGTTCCTGACACCTGTATCTTGAATATCCCCTGGAGGTATTTCTCCCTTTTTAACTCCAGGCCCATGACCATTGCCTATTTTAGCTCTTATTATCTTTTGCTTGGACTCTTACAGTAGCCACTAACTGACATCTATATGTCCATGTGTACCTTCCCCACTCACATCTAGTTTTCATGCTGCTACCGAAATTCTTCTACTAGGCAAATGTAGACACATTTCTTTATTGTGCAAAACTTTTCAGTGGCATCCATTGCCTGTAGTCATGGTTAAAAAAAAAAAAAAGAAGCTATTTATTTTTTAACAAAATTCTGTAGAGCCACTTGGGGAGAAGTCACAGTGTCACATATAGAGTAATGATTCCAGTGTTGGTCTTATATCCAGGCAGACTGAATTACTTGCCACTTGGCTGAAGGAACCATACTCTCTCAAGCATAAAGTCACTCCTTTCCTAGACTGGTGCAAGTCAGGCACTATTTATTACTGGCCTGTGACGGGCGAAATATAGAAATTATGACTGCAATTTACAAGTTTTGATAGCAATTTGACATTGCTTATATATATAAACACATCAGTGAACTGACACTTTACATGTCTTTGGCTGTATTTAATTTTTTCTAGCAAATCATTTTAATTGTATTTGACAAAAGCACCAGTCCATGGTAGATGAGACAGTATAAAACACATACACACACAGTCCTTCAGTGTAAGTATTTTGGGAAGCTCTGACTAGGAAAGTCCTTCTCATGTTTTCTCGCCAGACCAGTTTCTCTTCATTCTTGCAGATGCCGTTCAATTCCTCTCTGCAGAGCAGGCTCTCTGCCCACACCCATATCTCTAGCTACATTGACTTTTTCCTGTAGGAGGACAACCCCAAGGCTGGGCAAGTGTGTCACAAGATTGGGTCACTCGATGGCAGAAACAGTCTTATTTATCCTTATCTTTCACAAAGGAACCAATTAATAAATATTTGTTGAATCAAGTTGAATTGGCTTTGTCTATTCTCAATAAGACATGAGTTGGAATCCCGACTATCCTATTTTTTTTCTAGCTTTGTGACTGTGGGACAGTTACTTTATCTCTTTTGCCTCACTTTCCTGTAAAATGAGAATGATAATTACATCATAGCATTATTGTGAGGATAGAATAAACTCAAATAATAAAGCTTGACAGATAATTGATGCTCAAGAAATGTTGATTGACTTTCTTCTCAGTTCCATTCCCCTTGAAATTTTTGACCATTAGTGCTAATATGTTTTTTTTAATTGTGGTAAAATACATATAAGGAAATTTACCATCTTAACCATTTTTAAGTGTACAATTTTATGATATTAAGTATTTTTACATTGTTGTGTCACCAATGTTCAACACTCTTAATCTTGCGAAACTGAAACTCTGTACCCATTAAACAATAGCTCTCCATTCACCTTACCAATTCCTGGTAACCACCATCTTACTCTGTTTCTATGAGTTTGACTATTTAACCTCATAAAAGTAGAATCGGACAGTATTTGTCCTTTTGTAACTGACTTATTTTTCTTAGCATAGCATCCTCAAGGCTCCTCTGTGTTGTACCATGCCAGAATCTCCTTCCTTTTAATGCTGGCTCATATCCTTTTGTATGTATATGCTGCATTTTGCTTATCCATTCATTTAATGGGCACTCAGGTTGCTTCTGGCTTTTGGCTATTGTGAATAATGCTGCTATGAACATGGGTATACAAACATGTCTTTGAATCCTTGCTTTCAATTCTTTTGTATATGTAGCCAGAAGTGGAATTGTTGGATCATATGGAAATTCTATTTCTAATTTTTTGAGAATTCATCATACCGTTTTTATAGCAGCTGCATCATTTTAGATTTTTCTTTATTTTTGAGATGAAATGTCACTCGGTCACCCAGGCTGGAGTGCAGTGGCACAATCTCAGCTCACTGCAACCTCTGCCTCCCTGATTGAAGCGATTCTCCTGCCTCAACCCCCACCCCCACCCCAAAGTAGCTGGGATTATAGGTGTGTGCCACCACATCCGGATAGGTTATGTTTCACTATGTTGGCCAGGCTGGTCTTGAACTCCTGACCTCAGTTGACTCCTTTATGAGGCTACAGGAAACAACAATTTGCCTAAGTAAAAATAGGTACAGTACTAACCTATAGTACTGAAAATACTGCGGGGTTTCACTATGTTGGCCAGTCTTAAACTCCTTACCTCAGGTCATCCGTCCACCTTGGCCTCCCAAAATACTGGGATAACAGGCGTGAGTCACTGTACCCAGCCATCATTTTAGGTTTTAACTAACAGTAGTACCAATGAGTCTGTATCTAATCCTTTGTGTTAGTTTCAACCAAAAGTATGTTCTTTCAAAACAAAAGGCCAGTAAGATTTGGTTTATATCTATAAATACCTGAGTAGATATAAGTTAAGTTTCACCTTGTTAGTACAAAGTTGTAATTTGGTTGCAGTCACTGAAGATAATGTTTTAAATGTTTCTAAAATGAATGTCTGTCTTCAAATATTGGAATGATCTGAGGAATTACCTGTAAATATCCATTCCTTGTATTGTGTATTTTGACTTCATAATCAAAGCAATGGCTTGGAAAGGCAGACACTGGTTTCTCCCATTGGATAGAGAGACGAGTTCCTTCAATCTCTGCTGTGACATTCAGTGGAGTATTTATTTGATCTACATTAGGGAATGAAAGATCAGTGATATTTCCTTAGAATCTGTGATCAGAGCTGATAACTCCAACCCACTGACACTTCTCAAGGCATTTCTGAGATAGGCTTTTTTCAAAAAGGTCTTACCATCAGGTCTTAATCAACTGATCTCCAAGCCACAGGAAGCTGGTGGCCTCCCATAATACACTTGTCTTACAGTGCTGAAGAAGAAGAGACCCTTTCTGGAAGCTACAAGGATTACTACTCCAAATGGAATTGAATGCTTGAACCTCTTCCCCACTTAGCTCATTGCAAGACTCACCCACCATCCCCTTTTACTACTCAGGTTGTACCAAGCCCAGAATAAACCTGACCACTGAGAGAACATTTCCCCGGACCTCCCACCAAGCCCTGCCTCTTGCCAGTAGCTATACGGCCCTGAGCAAATCACTTCCCCTTTCTGAGATTCAGTTTTTAATCTCATTTTGTTTACTGTGTCTTTGTTTGTTTGTTTGTTTGGGAGACAGAGGAGCAGGAAGCTTCAGTTTTATTTTGCATTAAAAAGAATGGATTGGGCTAAATTTGTCTTCACTTAGGACTCTAATGTCTTTTCCCTTGAGATCTCACTTGATTGTCTTATGGTCCCTTGAGATGAGTAGAAATTAATTCTTAGCGAGTGTCCTTGTCTTAGGTAATGTGGCTTAGATTTCACAATTAATAGGGCAAAGAGTGGGATCCACTGGCTTCAGAGCCTCCTATTCCCTAAGAAGAAGAAAATTATTAACCAAGAAAGTACTTATTTCTTTTAGGAATTAGCCCCAATAAAATGAAAATCATAAAAGAAAATGAATTCCTGTGGTCTGTACTAGATCATATCCATTTTCATATTAATATTATTTTTTCCTGGGTCTTCCTCAGCATCTTTTATTGCCAATTTTCATGAAAGTGACATTTTTAGTTTACCTTAGAAATATACTACTGGAGAGAATTGCATGACCTCTTTAGTAAGGGCTATGATTCTTTACACAAAGTTATATCCATTGGATATAGATATGTCACAGCCAAATCATATCCTCTAAATAATATTTTAGTATATTTATTAAAACTTTATGCCAGGCACTGTTCTAAGCACTTTATCATTAGCAACACAATTCTCATGAAAACACAATGGAAGTATTGATTCCTCTCCATTGTTTCAGATAAGATTAGATACAGTGGAATGGTCAGCTCATCCAAGGTCACTCAGTCAGTGGTAGAACCAGGATCCAAGTCCAGGCAGTCTGCCGCCACCCCCAGCAGCCCATAATAACCAGCCCACCATTGAAATCTGGAATCTCCATAACCAAGAATGTCATGTGAGAGCACCTGATGAGTTTCATAAACAGAACTATCTGAGATGAGGGAGAGTGTCTTGTGTATTGAGAACTGAGCAGACAAAAACATGAATAGAATTTTTAGAGCTGAGAATTGCACACTGAGAGATATCCGAGCTGGAGAACATCCAGGAGATGGGCCAGAACAGTGGGAAATGGAGGGAGAGAGATGTTAGCCTGGAGAAGAAGGGCTTCTGAATGGGAAATCTACTGGAACAGCTAAGACAGGCCATTCTGTAGGGAAAGGACTCAAACCATCTGGGTTGGCACTAGTCCATAACGGCACCCAGGGGCAGAAATTTCACAAAACCTGTCAGAAGTGATGAAAGATTAAATGGTCTCTTTGAAACAGCTAGTTCACTTTTCCTAGTGCAGTGATTCTCAACTGGGAGAAATTTTACCCCCGAGGGGCATTTGGCAAAGTCTGAAACTTTTTAAAAAATCATATCTCAGGGGCAGAGGGGCATACTAATGGCATCTAGTGTGAGAAGCCAGAGATGATGCTAAATATCCTACCATGCCCAAGACAACCCTCCATAACAGAGTTATCCTGTCAAAATCATTGGTGGTGTTGGGATGGAGAACCCTGCCCCAGTGGTTTTCGAATATGGGCCCCATGCTTACCTAGCATCAGAAAAGTAGTAAAACTAGGTGATCTTTATAACCCTTCCCTCCAGTGCTCAGATTCTGAGGTTATTTCAGATTTGGATTAAGTCAGTCTTACCAATGGTGTGAAGGGCAAACAGCTGATCAAAGGGCTTGATGGCAGTGTGCTTGCTGGAGCCATTAACAAGCACCACAAGCCAGTCACGCCCTCTGCTGTGGATGAAAGTCCTGGGAAACCAGCATGCGATATTTCTCTCCAATATGTCTTTGCTGTATTCTTTGCATTCTTCAGTCCAAGAACCATACCTAAATTGGAACACTCATGAGTTTTATAGCACTGCAGGAAACAACCATTTGCCTAAGTAAAAATAGGTTCAGTACTAACCTGTAGTAGAGAAAATACTGCGTGTCCTCAGGGGCATCTGTGCCAACAAGCCAGGTGCAGTGAAGGGAAACTTGGTATGGCCTTAAATGTGAATAATTATCTGCTGTAGTGTTTGTGGTGCAGGTTAAATTCACAGCTGAGGTTCCGGGAGACCCTAGGTAGTCAAAAATAAAAAGAACAAAAAATTGCCATGGTAGACTCTGAATTTCATGCTTCTTTTGGAACTGCAGTGATGTGAACGTCTTATTCATCACCAAAAATAATCATCCTCACATTGGTTTTGTTCCCTTGAGAGTCCCGCTCTGTTACCCAGGCTGCAGTACACTGGTATAATCTCAGCTCACTGCAAACTCTGCCTCTGGGCTGGAGTGATTCTCATGCCTCAGTCTCCTGAGTAGCTAGGATTACAGGTGTACACCACCACACTCACCTAATTTTTGTATTTTCAGTAGAGCTGAGGTTTCAGCATGATGGCCAGGCTGGTCTTGAACTCTTGACCTCAAGTGATCCACTGGCCTTGGCCTCCTAAAGTGCTGGGATTACAAGCATGACCCACCATGCCCAGCCATTATCACGTATTTCTAGAAACCTTCTAACCACCAAAGGCCGACTTACAGGACATACGGAATTAGAATTATAAAGCCCCCATTTCTGATATTAAAGGCTTCCCAGCTATTTTGTTTGGGGCTTGGTGGTTGTGTTTTTGCAATGAATGTGTGAAAGTTCAAGAGAAGTACAATATATTATCATTTAGAGGTTGATGTCCAGCAACTTTGGTGCTCTAATGCCGCATTTGTTAATAACTAGCTGTGAGACAGTGCCCCCCACTCTCTGGACTCTATATTTTCAATTGTAAAGAAGAGGGTTGGTACACAAAGGTCTTGAGTGTTTCTTTCCATCCTAGAATTGTATGATTCATTAGGTTGTATCCAAATGTTTCATGAATTACATGGGTTGCTGCTCAGAATAAATGAGTTTTGACAACACTGAAAGATAATACCACTACTGTGCAGACTTGATGCACATTAGCATGTTAAAGTCCTCTTTAATATACTAGAACTTTAAGAAAACCTTGAATTGGCCAGGCACGGTGCTCATGCCTGTAATTCCTGCACATTGGGAAGCCAAGGCAGATAGATATCTCTTGAGCACGGGAGTACGAGACCAGCCTGGGTAACATGGAAAAACCCCATATCTACAAAAAATAAAACAAAAATTAGCCAGCTGTGGTGTTAGGTGCCTGGAGTTCCAGCTATTGGAGAGGTTGAGGTGGAAGGATCACTTGAGCTGGGGAGGTCAAGGGTGAGCCAAGATCATGCTACTGCATTCCAGCCTGGGCAACAGAGTGAGACCCTGTCTCAAAAAAAANAAAAAAGAAAGAAAAAGAAAAGAAAAAAGAAAACCTTCAAATTTTATTTTATTTATTATTTATTCTTATTATTTGTGACAGAGTCACTCTGTCGCCCAGACTGGAGTGCAGTGGTGTGATCGGTTCACTGCAACCTCTACCTCCCAGGTTCCAACAATTCTCTTGCCTCAGCTTCCCTAGCAACTGGGATTACAGGCACATGCCACCACATCCAGCTAATTTTTGTATTTTTAGTAGAGATGGGGTTTCACCAAGTTGGCCAGGCTGGTCTCGAACTGTTGACCTCAAGTAATCCACCTGCCTCAGCTTCTCAAAGTGCTGGGATTACAGGTGTGAGCCACTATGCCTGGCCAAGATTTTAAATGCAATCTTTTAATGTTTGCTTCTTTAAGGATTTCTCAAATTATGTGACTAGAAAAGCTTGTTTTCATTACAACCTCTCTTGTTGCTGAATTAACAGTTGGTCTTTAGAATACACTGGGAAACACTGCCTTGTTGGTGGTTGTTCAGAGAAGAAAACAAGCTCTTGCACCCAGGTCAGGAAGGACCGCATCAAAATGAGAGCCTTGAGAGACAGAAGGGGGTCTTTTGATCGTAGCTTAAATCAGCTGTAGATCATTTTTATCTCTGTCAGCCAGTGTCTTTCAAGAAGCAGAGGGAGAAAATGATGAGAGAGAGCCTTTTATTACCTATAGAGAAATTAGAGAAGTTAAAGATAGGTTTCTAGAGAAGTTAAAGATGAGGTATTAAAGAAATACCTAAAAGCAGATTGACTTATTAAGTTCATAGTATATATTCATATATTAGGTTGATGCAAAAGTAATTATGATTTTGGTGATTACTTTTGCACCAACCTAATATATATTTGTCCATGCACCAAATGACCAGAAAGTCCATGCTCCAAATACAGTTTACAGATTCTGAAGACTCTTTGTCTTGTAATTCTCATCCAAGGAATCATTTTATGTGGATTCCACTTGGTTCAAAACAGAAATAATTTTTATTAGTGTCATCCTGTATTAGAGTGCTCAGAGGATAATTAGAATTGTAGAAATCTAAATGGCAAAGTGCCTCATAGGTAAAATCCAGTTATTCATTATAGAAAGGAGGAATAGTGGTTTGATGTAAAGCACATACAATAACCCATCTCTGTGTTCTTGCATCTACCTTGAATTAGTTTCTGTACTTGGAATCAAGCTCATGCAAATTGGCTGGTATGTGGTCTAGACAAGTTATAACAAATAAATTGGGCCAGATACGGTGGCTTACATCTGTTACCCCAGCACTTTGGAAGGCAGAGGCAGGTGGATGGCTTGAGGCCGGGAGTTCGAGACCAGCCTGGCCAACAGGGCAAAACCCCATCTCTACAATAAAAATAATACAAAAATTAGTCTGCCATAGAGGCGCATGTCTATAATCGCAGCTACTCGGGAGGCTGAGATATGAGAATTGCTTGAACCCAGGAGGCAGAGGTTGCAGTAAGTTGAGAACACACCACTGCACTTCAGCCTGGGTGACAGAGTAAGACTCTCTTTCAGAAAAAAAAAAAGTAAATGGGAAGATCTTTATGATTCTGTTTTAAGTCACCAACACAATTCAGGAGGCACGGTCTTTTCATCTGGTGATATGAGAAGATAATTGTTTGAAAATTACCTATGAGCTCAACTGACCAGGACAATTGTTATTGGGTGCACCCACATATCCCAGAACTTGGTAGCCTGCTTTTCCTCTTTTCTCTCCCCTATTGTGTGTGCACACTTAAGTGTTTGATCAGAAGTATTACTGATTCTAAGTATCAGAAACACCAGCTTTCCACTGGAGGCCAATGCAGAGACAGTGGATATTTCTGCAAGAATGTTCCAGATGGAATTCAGTTGGTTATAAGAAGTGGCAGCAGCCTTGGTTAGGATGTTGTTGATATGGGAGTACTTGATAAGAACAGGTGACTGACTGAAGAAAAGTGAGTTAGTGTTAATTTTTCTACTTTTCCATAGTTCCAAAGTCCAAAACATAGGCACTGGACTTTTGGAGGTTCGCTTACCTGGTGGAGCCTGAACTTCAGCAGAAACCCAGCTGCTGGCCAGAAATGAGTGGTCGTTCTGCAGGATGGTCCGCACACTTGCTGAAAAGCCTTGGTGGAGGATGGTTACACAGTTGCTTTCAGTGATTCTGGTTTCATACTAAAAATAAAACCCACAAGTTATGATACATAAAAGAGAACTAGCCTTAAGAGAGCTATTTTAATCAAATCTGCATTTTCTTCCACTTTTTGAATGACGAGGAAAATGCAATGAAACAGTTTTGCTAGAAAAAAGTCAAAACCACTGTAATAACAACACAGTAATTTCTCAACAACACATGAACACATTATTCTTGTAAATACAAATAAAATATTACAGTTAAACTCAAGTTCTCCTTGACCACCAACTCCCCAGAGGTCAATGTTTGACAGAAAATTCTCTAGAATTGTGTATTGACTGAAAAACAGTTAATATGAATCACTTCTCCTTTTGTTTGAATGCACTGCACACCTAATATGCAGCAGGTGCCTGAATGTAGCCCCGAGGTAAAACTGAGGCTCTTAGAAGCTAAGTGACCTGTCCCAGGTTGCAAAGGCAGGAAGTGGAAAAACTAGGATTCGAACTTGGTTTCCCTAACTCTTTACTCTGCCTGCCTGCTTCTTGTTTTACTGGACTACTTTCCCCTGTTCTGTTGTAATTTTAGGGGAAACAGAAAACCAGTTTTCAATCCATTGTGCCTAAGAAGTTACTAAACATTCTTCCTTAAGGGAAAGAATCATCCGAAAGTTAAAATATTCTGCAATGCTGTGTAATGCTGAACAATATACCCAGCACTAGCTCACAGGCATTCTTGCAGAGACATTATTCTACTGATAATATAACAAAGAGCCTATCAGTAGTTTTCTTTTTCTTTTCTAAATCTAAAATTTCATTTGATAAAGAAAATGCAGTCAAAAGGCATATTTATTCTCAGTAAGGATATCCGTTAGAATAAACACTTACGTCATCTTCTTTTGGAGCGTTTATTTTCACTTGATATTCTAGATTAACATTCCTTTGCTCTTGATCAGGATTTGGTTCCCAATGTAGAAGAACTTGAGCCAAACCAGTAACTTTAATGGTAAAATTGACAGGTGGGAGAAGTGAAACTGTTGATTCAAAGAAGAAAGAAACAACACAGTGTTCAACTGGACATAGGCAGCACTTTGAAAACTTTTTGAATATTTGTTGCCCTGCAGATGCTGTCCTGGACCTGCCAGCACCACAGACACAGTTGTTCTTCTGTGCCTGAACTCCGGGGCAAAGAGAGAATGGCTATTTTTACCCAAGTAGCTGGGACTACAGGCACATGCCACCACACTGGGCTAATTTTTTTGTTGTTGTTCAAGTAGAGACAGGGTTTCACCATGTTGACCAGGCTGGTCTCAAACTCCTGACCTCAAGTGTTCTACCCACCTCAGCCTCTCAAAGTGCTGGAATTACAGGCATGAGACATGACGGCCAGCCTACAAGCAGTTTCTTTAAAAGTGTTTTTAACTTATCTTTTTTATGTTGCCCAGGTGTTTACCTATAATATCTATATTTTTATTGAAATATGCACGTTACTGTGTCACTATTCCCTATAACCATAATTTTCAAACTGAGGGTCATTATCCATTAACAGGCAATGATAACAATGTATTGGTTTGTGATCAGAATTTTTGTTTTAATGATGTGGAAGCAAAATAGAATAGAAAAATATCAGTGTGCATCAAACATAATAAGAGCTGTTTCATGTACCTCTTGTTTCCACTACATAAAGATAGTTATAGATATATATTTGTATGTGTGCTGGTATATAATGTAAAAATGTACTTACCTTTTATTATGAGTCATAGACAAAAATATTTGCAAGCAAACTTACTTAAATAGGCCTCTACACAAAGAAAAGCTTTCTTCCCCCTTCATGAGCCACTTTCTGACTTTGCTTTCAAAATATAAAATTTTGTTTAATTACAAAATTACTATCTATTCTTTGAAGAAATATTGGAAAGCACAGGTAAGCACAAAGAAGATAATAAAATTTTTAAAATAATCATACCACTAAGAATGGCATTAACATATGATATATTCACTACGATTTTTCTGGGAATATATTTATTTATTTTTATTTACAATTAGGACAGTATTGTGTACACAATTACCAAAACTTCTTTTATTCATTTACTAAGTAATCAGGTTTTATCCGTTGACCTTAACAACCTTCTACACCTCTATATCCACATTTACCACATGAGAATTTTTAGAGCTCTGTCTGTATTGCACTGTCCCTTATGGTAGCCACTGGCAACTTGTGGCTATTAAAATTTTAATTAGTTAATTAATTAATTTTTGAGACAAAGTCTCACTCTGTCACCCAGGCTGGAGAACAGTGGTGCAATTTCAGTTCACTGCAACCTCTGCCTCTCAGTTCAAGCTATTCTGTTGCCTCAGCTTCCCAAGTAGCTCAGATTACAGGCATGTGCCACCATACCTGGCTATTTTGTATTTATAGTAGAGATGGGGTTTCCCCATGTTAGCCAGGCTGGTCTCAAATTCCTGACTTCAAGTGACCCACCTGCCTTGGCCTCCTAAAGTGCTGGGATTACAGGTGTGAGCCACTGTGTCCGGCCTAAATTAATTTAAATTAATTACCGTAGTTGCACTATCCATATGTCAAGGGCTCAGTAATCACATATGGCTAGTGGCTACTGCCTTGGACATACAAAGATAGAACATTGTCATTACCATTGATAGCTCTGTTGACGATGCTAGATTTGGATCATGTGATGGTTTTCCTTAAACTCTGTCATCACACCAAATACATACATCAACAAATTTCAGGACAAAATGAAGTGGAGCCTTCTTAATGTTCGGTTATGAAGCCTGCTAACTATTCCCTTCCGTGGGAAGACTTTCCAAATGCGGCCACTGGCACTAGCTTTATTCCATGGTCCCCAGCCACCCACACTTGGACTTTGATTTCTCACTGTAGCATAACATTTGCATTTCAACCAACATTAGTTTCTTAAAATACAGCATGTTTAAAGCATCTGTATTCTGATGGGACAAATATTGTCTCTTACAAAAATCCATATATAATGTTCTAATTGACAGTTTAACAGAAAATAATGCTACCTTTTTACTAACATACTTCTAAAAATAAACATTATTGAATTGAATAGAAGATCCTTACTCTTTTCATCAGGAAGTAAGTCAGCTTGTAGTATCTCAGTGGCCCCCAAAAGAATCAGTAATATAGGTGCCATGATGACCATATCCTACAGAAAACAAGGGAGATATAAAAATCATCTTGTTGCTATTTTTAAGAAAAACTGATAGCTACTTTCTAACATAAAATATAGTCATTTGACCATTCAACAAATATTTATGGCATATTTGTTATGTTCTAGAAATACAAACATGATGAAATCTTGGATTTTGCCCTTCCAATGTAGATTCATAGCTTGAAAGACAGAATGAAACATAAATTGATAAATGTGAACCTGTTAAAAAACTGCCCCAACAAAGGTGTGTATAGGGGTACAATAGGAGCAGAGACTTCTGATTTGCCATCTAAAAACTATAGTTCTTGATACACACTAAGGGGAAAAGACATTCCTGGTGAAACCCAAGATATGTTTAAAGCTGGAAGAGAAGAAAACAAATAGGAGGGGATTGCTTTTTGACAAGAGACCAGAGCAGATCTCTGAACGGTAGAAGTTCTAGCATAGTCAATAAAAGAAACAAACAACTTTACCATTTTCACTATGAGGATTTAAATATGAGCCAACATGACAGGAAACTTTAATCTAAAATAATTTGTAACCTGAGAAAGAGAAACTTTGTATCATCAATCCAGAAGCAACTTGTGGTACTTTGACTTTGAAGAGGCTTTTTTTTTTTTTTTTTTTTTTGGTACCCAAATGGGAGCAGGTCACAAAAGAAATGAAAAACATAGTGATGGACCTGGGGAAAATAAAGAGAATATGTCTACCTCCTTGAAACAATTGGGCAATGAGAATAAATCTAGAGCAGCAAATGTGATAAACAGCCCAGTGTGAACACGCACGAAAGTCTCAGCATCCTGTTCTACACATCAAAAAGGAGAGTGGGTGACCTCTTTCTGGGAGTTGTAGATGAGAAATCTTGAGTTTTTCTTCTGCACATTTTGAAAGACATATTTCATAAGAACTTAGCTTTAAAGGACAAATAACACACATGGCTCCCCCTGTGTTGCCCTGACTTTGACACAACGGTTCTTCCTACTCTCTTACCATGTGCTCCCCCTAGAAACTGGGTACGAGGCACATGTGGCTGTTCTACATGATGGAAATCCCTTCTATGGACATTTTTCCTACTCATGAAGGAAAGGAGTCTGAAAGGTGAAATAATTTGCTAAAGATCAAACAGCTATTAAGTAATGGAGCCTAGACCCAATCCCTGATCTTCCAACAGCAAAACCTATGCTGTGTCAATTTTATAGTACTAATTACAATGATTTATAATTTCAGTTAAAAAATGTATTTATGTGGCTTGATATTTTCCAAATATAATTCCACTAGAATCATAGGAGAGACCTGGGCTAAATGAATACCTCCAGGAAATAGCACAGAACACTATTGACTTCATTATTACTTCTTAAATTATTACTTAAGTTGCCACTATTACTGCTGAACTTACTAATGAAATTGGTAAAGCGCTACAATAGCAGGAAAGAATCGGCATATAAATCACTCAATTCCTTTCCAAATAAGCATTGCTAATCAGAACTCTGCCAGTTTTGATTTTAAAATGCTGTTTCTTTTTTCTCCGAGGATTTCACACCATGTAGAAAATTTTTTCAAAAAAATGATGATGATGACAACAATAGCAGGTACTCTATAATTTTTAAAACATTTTCAACAAGTTAGAATTTTAATGAATCAAGGGAAAACACTAGTAATCTACTAAGCCTGAGAAGCAAAGGTAAAAATTCCTTAACAATAGCAATAAAGATAGCTTCCTCTTGAAGTTATGAAGGTGATGTCTTGAAACGTCAGCATTTCCTGAAATACTACATATGATCTCATTTTGCACTAATTTTCAATAATAGGAATTCTAGGTCAGAGACAACTGCAAAATTAATATTCCTTTGTGATTTCTACTGATGGGCAAAGTAGAACTATCTTATAAGAGTACTTGTAAAAACAATAAACATCTGTCCTTTGCAATTAAACTGTTGAAGTAAATAATAAAACTGTTGAATATCTCAATGAGGGAGATAATTGAATATTTTATATAAGCAAGCACTGTCCCCTAGAATTTGTCATGTATTCTGATTTTATAGCTGCTAAGAATATAATTGTTTTTCAAATTTGATCATTCAAAAAAATTTTTATTATTAATTTTTGGCCATAAATAACTAGATAACTTTTTCATGTTTCATTGTTATATTTTACATTTTAAAAAACATGCTTTTGGGAAAAAAAATCAGTTGTCCTATAGATGGTACAAGATACTCAATTAAGAGTCTAAATATTACCAAGAATAACAGTTTTTTTGTGAGCCAGATAAATGTTATATAAGGTTGAGTATTACTAGAACTTCAGGATTTGATACCATGTTTTCTACAATTCTGCTCACTCTCTGTGGACCCTTAATACTTCTGGTCCATGCAAAAAACAAACAAACAAACAAAACAACCCAAATCTCTTCAGGCCATTTATTTAATCCAAAGATACACTGTTATGTAGACATCAACTGGGTCATATTTCACTATACAAGAACAGAGCCACTTCATTAGCTTAAATATATGTATTGACAATATGTTCAACTCATTCTTCTCATGGCTACCAATTAAAATGCAGCAGAAAACCATTAAATTGTTAAAATAAGATTCAAACTAAGCAGAATGAAGCAACTATAGGTTGCTTATTTACAATAATCAGGAATACATGCTCAATCTCTAAGAGAAATCATAATCTACTTGCTCATATAACATTTCATTGAGTCAATCTAAAATTCCTCGAGTGCTCTCTGAGAATCTAGTTTCTGATAGGTGTTACATTTTTTGAAATGTTGGAGAAAAAACAACCACAATCTCCTTTCCTATAGGTGTTTCTAGAAAGTTGGGTAAAATTTTGACAATTAGCAGTGGATTTCCCCAGTGTTCTTGAGAACTGGTTAAATTCCGCTGACGTTCAGACTTACAAATTGTTTCCCCTCTTTTTTTTCTGACTTATTTTTCTGCCTGGGGTATTTGTTTTATAACCAAAGTTATACTGGCATCCCTGTTTTTAAAACCTTTTTGAGTCAACTCTGTTGACACCTAATTCCAGACTCAAACTTAGTGGCAGAAATTGTAAAGCAACTGAGAGAATTCATGCTGTTAGGTTTTTAAATATAAAGAGTTTACTTTCTCTTTTATCCTGTACAAACAGCAATAAAAGTTATTTCTTGAAGGATGAAGAATAAATAAATCAAGGCATATACTGCAAAAGACATGTTTACCTAGGTATATTGCATTATATCCCAATGAAGAATAAATAAATCAAGGTATATACTGCAAAAGACATGTTTACCTAGGTATATTGCATTATACTCCAATGAAAAACTGCACATTTCTAAAGATATAAATGAATAATGAGGACCACTTATCATGCATGCATTTTTTTTACTGCTACTGTACTTTTGATCAAATTTCTGAAATGGTCCTAAAATATAACTCATAAGTTCAGGCTGTGGCCATAGACATAAAATTCTGTCAGTCCAAGTTGAAATGGTGTTGCCACCTTGAGTATTTGGAAAAATAGAAAAAGGATTTTGCTACAAACTACCCAATGGTTGGCCAGGCGTGCTGGCTCACACCTGTAATCCCAGCACTTTGGGAGGCTGAGGCGGCCTGGCCAACATGGTGAAACCCCATCTCTACTAAAAAATACAAAAATTAGCCAGGTTCAGAGGCAGGCACCTATAATTCCATCTACTAGGGAGGCTGAGGCAGGAGAATCACTTGAATCCTGGAGACAGAGGTTGCAGTGAGCCGAGATTACACTACTACAAGCTAGCCTGAACAACAGAGTGAGACGCTATCTCAGAAAAAAAAGAAATACACACACGCACACACACACATGCACACACACACACGCGCACACACACACACACATATACACATCTCAGTGGCGATTTCCTGCCAATTGCACATGGTGCAATTTGTCATCCCACATTAATGCTCCTGGGCATACCTGTCTACAGACAATCCTCTTGTTCCAATCAGTACTCAAGAGTAGATGGCGAGGACAGTGTCTGTCGTGTCTATGCTCATGTCTGCAACCCCACCATCTAGCAGTGTCATGCGCAGGACTGATGCTCAGTGTGCCAGGCCCTGTGTGGAACAGAAGCAAATTAGTGCACAGCCCTAATGTGCGACGTGTGGTGGAACCTAACAGAGGAACAAGTTAGGTCAGGAGTGCGGCACGCTGGGGAGTGTGTAACAAGCCTGGCCCACTTTTGGTACCTTGCCTAAAAATTTCCCATGCAGTGTTTGAAGTAATATAAACAAATGAGGTGATTTGACTTCTAAAACTTAATTATGCTTGGAAATGCAAACTTTTAACGAATAGCTACATAGATTAATTTCTTTTTCAATAACCATGAAAGAGGACATAGTCACTTAAAAGAGAAATCATACCAGGTAATGAAATGTTCAGTGTGATAATTCATTAGACCAAGTATTAAGGATATTATTCAACATGGCTATAAAAGTACCATCACTTTTCATGTGTTTATTAATTTTAGGCTCGTGGATATTAAAAGATTTTATTTTTTTTTCTCTCTGCGTCTCCTTTTTTCTACTTTTTTGGAGGTTCCATTTCATCCTTTTTTGTCTACATGGAAATATGCTTACCTTGCTTTAGGTGAAATATTTCAGCAAATTTGTGTAAATTTTGTATAAAATGAAACATTCTTGGAAATTCAAGAACCCCTACCAGAAAGAAAAAGCAGAACGCCTCCTTCAGTGAGATAAAGTGCCATTATCTACTTTTTGTTGTTGTTTCTTTATTTGTAGATTTCTTGCTTAACTGAAACTTCCTAAGATATTTCATTAAACCCTATACCCTATTTTGGAAACTCATTTATTTTCTAAGAAATCTTGGCAGAATATATGTTCTCATTTTAGTTGCATAAATTATCTGGAGCAGTGCAAAATAAATGCCTTATATTTATATAAGAATTAACAAAACCATAGGTGTTGTTTTAATATGAGTCACCTTGCCACAGGCTTGTACATCTCAGTTACTGAGCCAAAACACAAGAATAGAATCAACATGACCTTTCTAATAACGCAAGTTTAATAGCACCATTATTAGTTCTGTCCCTGCTAATAATAATACAATTATAAGGAGTTTTGTTTCCCCTTTTTGTTCTTTAAAAGTTTGCCATGTATTTAGAAGTCATTGTTTCTCACTTTTCCTAAGCCCTCCTCCCGGCCCTGGGTGTAGTGAAATTATGAGGAGGTGGAGCACAGAGTATTGTAAGAGCCCATGCCATAGAAGAAAGATATCTATTTGCTTACTCTGCGGTGAGTGAAGCATTTGATTTCCACTTACTGAGAAGTGCGTTGGCCATGCGATCAGGAGCAGCAGCAGGGCATTGAGAATGAACCTTATCTCTGGGTACACTTTTTAACTTAGAGGCGGTTCTTCACTCTTTCATCATCACAGCTGTAATGGTTAAAAACTCTCAGGCAGCTTCCTTTACGATGGGATGGCAACATGTTTTCTCTAAGCAAATATGGAGGAGGATTTGTACAGAGCAACTAGGCAGGAGCCAAACTGGAACTCCCAACAACCGAACTGCTGACAAATGAAAGAATCTCTCTTGTCCAGATAGCCATTATCTGATAACTGTCTCGTCTGCATTTTCACTCTCTTTCAGAGCTGGTTTGCTATCTTCAGGAGTTGGAATTAACTTTTACTCATGGTGACAAGGTAATCAAATTTTCTATGGGTACTCTAAAGCTTTGCATTTCTGTTTTATTTATTTCTATTTATTTATGTTTTATTTATGTTTATTTAGCTTCGTTTGGCTAGAGTAGTTACTGTGCCTCTATCCCCTATGCAACACTGACACATGATTTGATAGAAAATAGGGCCTGAGGAGTACCCTCTCCCTACTCACAAGGCAATAGCAGCAGTTCTCAGCCCTTAGAGAATGCCCTTAGCTCTTCTCTGTTTTGTGAGCAGGTCTGGTACTCTCAAGTAAATCTGTGTGGGGGATGTGTTTCTGGGTGTGATACATTACTAGTGTCTGTCAGCTCAGATCGTCCTACACAAATTGTAGCAATGGCATTGTTGGTCTGTGGGTGCACCACGTTCCTCACATCGCACCCATTGTAGCACCCAGCTGTCTTCAGAATGCTTCAATTTCAGCAAACCTACTTGGCTTTTCCCGTCTTTTGTACCATTTCTGTTTGATTCCTTATGGGAAATTTAGAGGTAATTGACTACAAAGCTGACTTTAGAAAAAAATACGGCTTAGAGTGTGAATAGATAAGAATAGTTCTTATTGCATGACCCCAGGCAGAGAATAGTAGTTGCCTTTGGAAGGAAACCTTCAGTCTTAGCCCAAGAGATGAGTGATACAGGATTCCCTGTCTCTTTAGTAGCCAGTTGGGAGACTCTCAGAGCAGATGCAGAAAGATGGTTGCCCTGGTTAGATCAGTGGTTCTGTTTGTGAGATGATAGCTGGGCCTCCTGGAGGAAATTTCTGAAAGGCTCAGTGTAGGAGCTGTGCAAGTACAGTCAGTGTGTGTGCTTGGGGTTCCCAAGGTGACCATTTTAGCAGTTGCCAAAATGAAACTGGTGCAATTATTATCAGGTTGAAATTGTCAGAACTGAAAATGTGATTTTCCTTGGGGAAAGGGGAAGTAAAACAAAGAATAGAGAGAGAGATCCATTTATTTGCTAAGAGACACTCAGAAAAGTTTAGACATAGTATCAACGATGTGGCCTACTTTTTGAAGTCCTGCACATCTATTTATACATGTAGTATATTTGCCACTAATGAAGCCTTTACAAATACTTAGTAATCATTGTGAGGACAGTACTTTCTGTCTTAAAATACTGCTTTAATGGTCTCTCTCTCTCTCTATGTATATAATATATATATGTGTGTGTGTGTATATATCTCTATAGAGAGAGATATACACACACATATATGTGTATATATACGTGTATCTATATATATATATAAACGTGTGTGTGTGTGCATATATATATATATATACTTTTTTTTTTTTTTGAGACAAAGTCTCCCCGTCACCCAGGCTGGAGTGCAGTGGCACAATCTTTACTCACTGCAACCTCCGCCTTTCATATTCAAGTGATTCTCCTGCCTCAGCCTCCCAAGTAGCAGGGATTACAGGCATCCACCACCATGCCTGGCTAATATTTGTATTTTTAGTAGAGACAGGATTTCACCATGTTGGCCAGGCTAATCTCAAATTCCTGACCTCAAGTGATCTACCTGCCTCGGCCTCCCAAAGTGCTGGGATTACAGGCATGAACCACCACATAATGGTGGTCATGGTCTCTATGTTTCTTACATTCATTTACTCAAATATTCATTGACGGCACCTATGCGCTATGCTAGGCATGGTGAAGGGTATAAAGAAAATTAGATCTGGCTACTCCTTCCATACTGACTTCATGGCTATATGATCTGTAATTAACTATACCAATAAAAACAAGCAAACAAAGCAAACACATGCTCATACAGAAACATTGTCTCTATGTATCCATGTACGTACAAAGGACAACAGAGGCAGGGACTTGTATTGTTTATGGCAATAATTTCATTCTTTATAATAAAATATAAATGTCCAAAGACAGTATAATAGAACATGCTGGAAGAATTCACAAAAGTAGTTTTTTAAAAAGTGAAATCAAATGTGTCTGCATACCTTAAGCAAAACAATGTGAGTTTAGCCAAAAAGAAATATGAATAGTAATAATATGAAAATCAGGGTTAAGTGGCTGCACCATGAACTCTGGTTAAAAGAGCTTCTTAAAGATATCAACTTCTAGAACTTGGTTCCATGGAAATAATGAAAACTGTAGATCAAGATTTATACAAAAGAGAACAAAATTCATTGTACCTTTACTTGGAATAGTAAAAGTAATACAGGAATGGCAAAGATAAATATATAACTGCTCAAGTTTGAAATATGTGATGTGGATGTTAAAAGGAATGTTTATCAAGAACTGTATTTTTCTTTTGAGACAGGGCCTTGCTCTGTCACCCAGTCTGGAACAGTGGCAGGATCTCAGCTCACTGCAATCTCTGCCTCCTGGGTTCAAGTGATTCTCATGCCTCAGCCACCAGAGTAGCTGGGATTACAGGCGTGTGCTACCATGCCAGCTAATTTTTGTATTTTTAGTAGAGACAGGGTTACACCATGTTGGCCAGGGTGGTCTCAAACTCCTGGCCTCATGTGATCCCCCCACCTTGGCCTCCGAAAGTTCTGGGAATTCAGGCATGAGCCAATCAAGAACTTTTAATAACATAGGGTATTATGAAAAAATGTTAAGTAAAACAACAGGAGGGTATAAACACATGTAATTTTTTTTTACAGTCTTATTTTTGGTCAGAAGATCAGACTGATAGGAAAAATTATCTCTAAGTGGTAGGTGTATTAGTCAGATATTGCTACAGAACAAACAACCACAGATCCCTCAGTGGTAAACTGTGATAGGCATGCATTTCTAGCCCAAGTGTCTGAGTTTTGAATGGGACTTGTCTAATCTTGGGCTGGGCTCCAGATCACAGAGTGAGTTCAGATTTGTTCCAAGTATCTGCCATTCATCTGGAATGGGTGAGCACCCAGGGTATAACCTTTACATAGTGACAACAAAAGTGCAAGAGAGCAGGACCAATTGCACAATCACACATCAAGCATATGCTCATGTTACATTCCCTGACATCTCAAGAGTTTGAGCAAATTGCATGGCCAAACCCAGAGTCAAATGGACGAAGCCCAAAGTACATTCCACCATGATAAGGCCATGACAAGGGTGTGGACACGGACATCTCTTAGTAGGGAGTAAAGTAATGAGACCAACAGTTCATTCTACCAAGTCAGGGTTAATGTTTCTTTTACTTTTATTCTGCATTTCTATATTTACAAATGTTTTATTCTGTACAAATTCAGGAAGAAAAAGTTATTTTAAAAATTATTAGAAACAGGCCGGGTGCGGTGGCTCACGCCTGTAATCCCAGCACTTTGGGAGGCCGAGGCAGGTGGATCACGAGGTCAAGAGATCAAGACCATCCTGGTCAACATGGTGAAACCCCGTCTCTACTAAAACTACAAAAAAAAAAAAATTAGCCGGGCTGGCGCGTGCCTGTAATCCCAGCTACTCAGGAGGCTGAGGCAGGAGAATTGCCTGAACCCAGGAGGCGGAGGTTGCGGTGAGCCAAGATCGCGCCATTGCACTCCAGCCTGGGTAACAAGAGCGAAACTCCGTCCCCCCCCCAAAAAAAATTATTAGAAACATGCAGATCAATTTCATAGAATGGAGAGTCCAAAAATAAACTCTTGCATTTAGGGTCAATTGATTTTTGACAAGAATGTCAAGACAATTCGGTGGGAAAAAGATCAGTCTCTTTCAAGAAGTGGTGCATATCCGCATGCAAAAGAATGCCTCACAGCATAGATAAAAATGAATTCCAATAGAGTAAAAGACCTAGAAGTAACAGGCAAGACTATAAAATTATTGGAAGAAAACATAGGCATAAATCTTCATGATCTTGGGTAAAGCAGTAGTTTCTTTTCCCTTCCCTCCCTTTCCCTTTACTGATGGAGTCTCACTTAGTCCCCCAGGCTGGAGTACAGCGGTGTAATCTCAGCTTACTGAAAACTCCCCCACCTCCTGGGTTCAAACAATTCTCCTGCCTCAAACTTCTGAGTAGTTGGGATTACAGGCACGTGCCACCACACCCGGATAATTTTTGTATTTTTAGTAGAGACAGGATTTCGCCATTTTGGCCATGCTGGTCTCAAACTCCTGACCTCGGGTGATCCACCCACCTCAGCCTCCCAAAGTGCTGGGATTACAGGTATGAGCCACTGCACCCAGCCAGTAGTTTCTTATGTAAGATACAAAAGCAGACACAACAACAACAACAAATAGATAAATTGGATTTTACCAAAATTAAAAGCTTGTGTGCTTCAAAGGATACCATCAAGAAAGTGAAAAGAGGCTGGGTGCAGTGGCTCACATCTCTAATCCCAGCACTTTGGGAGGCCAAGGCGGGCAGATCACCTGAGGTCAAAAGTTCAAGACCAGCCTGGCCAACATGATGAAACCCCATCTCTACTAAAAAATACAAAAATTAGCCAGGTGTGGTGGTGGGCGCCTGTAATTCCAGCTACACAGGAGGCTGAGACAGGAGAATAGCTTGAATCCGGGAGATGGAGGTTGCAGTGAGCTGAGATAATGCCACTACATTCCAGCCTGGGCAACAGAGCGAAACTCTATCTAAAATAAATAAAATAAAAATAAGGGAAGTCAAAAGACAAGCCACAACATGGGAAAAATATTTGCAAATGTATATCTGACAAGGAACTTTTATTTCAAATATGTCAAAAACTTTTACGAACAATGAAAAGAAAAATAACCCAGCATAGCCCAGGAGCTCGAGGCTACGATGAGTCATGTTCAGGCCACTGTATTCCAGTCTGGGTGACAGAGCAAGACCCTGTCTGAAAGAAAGAAAGAAAAATAAAAAGAAAGGAGTAAAATAACTTAGTTTAAACATGAGATAAAGAATTTGAACAGACATATCTCCAGAGAAAATGTACCAACAGCCAAGATGCTTAGGAACATCTGCTCAATATCATTGGCCATTGGAAATGCAAATTAAAACCACACTGACAGACCTCTTCACACCCACTCCAATGGCTGAAATGAAAAGGACAATAACAAGTGTTCATGAAGATGTGGAAAAACTGGAACCCTCATATACTGTTGCTAGGGAGATAAAGTGAGGCAGCCAATTTGGTAACAGCCTGGTAGTTCCTCAAAAAGTTAAATATGGAGTTTCTATACTTCCCAGCAATTCCATTGCTAGGCAAATACCCACCTGAGAGAATTAAAATCATGTGTCTACATAAAAATTTATATGTGGATATTCACAGAAGAATTAGTTGCAATAGCCAAAGAGTGAAAACAACTCAAATGTCCAGCAATTAATGAATGGATAAATAATATGTGGTGTATTCGTGCAATGAAATATTATTCAGTCATCAAAAGAAGCACTGATAGCTGCAACATGGATAAACCTTGAACACATGAAGCTTAGTAAAAGAAGTCAGTCACAAAAGATCACACATTGCATAATTCCACTTATATGAAATGTCCAGAATAAGCAAAATCTATAGAGATAGAAAATGGATTAATGGTTGCCTAGGACTTTCAGGGGATGAGGGAGTTTGGGAAAAATGGGAAGTTACTGCTAATGGGTGTGAGATTTTCTTCTGGGATAATAAAAATATTTTAAATTGATTACAGTGATGGTTGCCAACTCCGCAAATATATCAAAACCATTGACTTTTACACTTTAAATTGGTGAATTTTATGATATGTAAGTTACATCTCAATAAAACTGTCATAAAAAAATACCCTAACAGGATTAAATGCCCTAACAGGATTGACACAGAATTCTGGATAGTCAGAAAAATTCTAGTGTAAAATCTATCTGTGGATTTATCAGATAGATTGTAGCTAAAATTAAAAGCATGTCTTTATTCAATAAAGAATTTCTGTAGCTTCAGTTTTTTTTCCATTCTTTAGAGACCAGTTCTTTGCTCTGAAAATCAGGAAATCAACCAGAATGTGTAAAAACTATAGCCAAAACCATACAGTTAAACTTATTTTGTTCATGTAGGTTAATGTTGCATTTCAGTTAAAAGAGAAACTGCCATATTCCTGGGACTGTCAATTACCTTATACACATGATCATATCATAGCCTTATAAACCTATTTTACAGATGAGTATACTGAGGTTTAGATAATTTACATAGCACAGACTCCTTGTGATGCTCTCCAAATTCACATTGCCTAGAATGACAAAACCTTAATTCTATGATTGTTGTAATTATTATTTTTAAAAAAACAGTACAAGTGTATAACTTGTACTTTCTGATTTGACAGTGGTAGGTGCAGTTCCTCTTGAGA